CGGAAGCCTTGATTCTGTTTTAGGCATTTCAAGGTGGAAAATGTTTTTAATGGCGCTGGTTGTTTAGAATTTTTACAAGTTGGAACTGAGTACTTATCACTGGATCACTATGGATGCTCCATAGTCAACTAGTTTTATTTGGACAGCTTATAACTCAACATTGGGATTGGTTGTTGGGTTTTGAGTGCAATTTAAATTGGGTTTGTCGGACACTATAAAGCAATCATTTAATATGACTTACTTTTTATGTCAATACGTATGATTTTTTTTTTTTTTTTTTTTTTCTTTATTATAGAGATTTTTAGCCTGAGGCTAGTTCATCTCTTGAATACGTATGATCAACCGGTGGAAACTAACGATTTTGAATTGGCTCACTACTTGACTAGCCTATTGGTCCCAAGTACATCTATGAGCGTACCCCATTCTAGACGAAATTCTAGTAGTATTTCGCTATAAAAGTTTAACAGATAAAATGAGGGGTTCGTGGATTTCCCTATGCATCGATTAGCTTGGGACCGAAGAGAGTACCAGCCAAAAAAATTAGCACGTTTCTTCGGGACCTTCTGGTCTTAGAGTTACCTCTATGGTATGACCGTCATATAACTATAGGAAATTATTGTAGCTGCAATAAAACCTTTACAAAATTCAAATAAAACCCAACAGCTCCAGATTTGTTTCTTGGGATGAAACGCGAAAAGGTATTTTTTTTCCGAATGACAGATACCTACGCTTGGTAAAAACATGGGATGAATTGTTTCTAGATTGCTTAGTGCCATGCGTGTCAGCTGTGAAGCGCATTCACGACGAAGCCAAAAGGAGACATATTCAAGCTTAGTTTATGGTCATCCAAATGATTTTGACTTTATTGACTTTTTGGAATCGGTTTTGGATGTTGATGATTTCCAAAAAGCAGGTCAAAGCCCTCATACTCTTATAATAATTGATGGGATGGGGGGATTGATCATTACGCAAATCATCCCCATGAGTTTCATTGATTAAATAGGATAAATGACGGTTTCGACAACATATTTACCTATTATCATCAGGGGGTAAATTATGTCCTAGAGCTTTAATTTTGTGCATGAGGAAACATCATGCATCAAAGCATCATTTGACCAAAATTGTAAACTCTATGATTTATTCCCTAACGGTGCCGGTGGTTGAAAGTGAGAGATTTCTCACCCCAGGACACCGTTGGAAAAAATGGGTTCGTAGCCGTACTTAATTTGATGGCGCTAGTTTAATGACCGACAATATACGTATAACTATGTAAGAAAATACAAGATATCGATCGGTGATCCCATATTGTGCAGATCTCAGGAAGTGGTCCATTTTGCCCAATTCTTCTCAAAATACATGATAGTGGTCAATGGAACAGTATCTATTGTAAAACATTTAGGGGAACCGAATGACGACAAAATAATCAATTTTGCCTGATTCTCCCCATATACATCATAGAAGATAATAAAGCGTTTGAAAAATTATTTGGCACCCGTGGATTGAACTCAAATTGCATCCATCTATTGCTAAAATATCAGGAGAATCGATTGCCACTCATTTCATATAGTGTAGGTAGACCTTTAAAAATTGTATATTTTGCTCGATTCTCCCCAAAATACACGATAGAACCTAATAAAACAATTGTCAACTTATTGGGCGTCCAGGAAATGAACTCAAATAGCACCTATCCATTGTAAAAATATCAGGAGAATCGATTGTTACCAATTTCAAACTGTGTAGATCTCCCTCAAAACTATACGTTAGAAGTTAATAAAACAGTTTAGAACTGATTTGGCACCCGGGAATTGATCTCAACTAGCACCCAATCATAATGAAACATATCAGGGAAATCGAATACCTAACGGCACCGGTGGTGTAGTGGTAAGCGTGATTACCTCTCACCCCAGCAGACCTGGGTTCAATACCAGTCGGCGCCGCCGGGATGTTCTGAGGCATAACATCTCTGATCACGCCTTCCTTCGGATGAGAAGTAAAGCCGTTGGTCCCCGGTTCATGAGTTGATGGGTCGATATGTAGAGTCCAGGTGTGGGAGCTGCCTTCCTGGCACGTCGGTAGCAGCACGGAAAACAAGATCAACGGAAAAAACAAACCAAAGGAAAAAAAAATCGAATACCATTCATTTAATATTGTGCAGACTAGTGTTGGGAAAATATCACAATATCAAATCTCCCCAAAGAACAAGATCACGTTTGATTTTCGTAGACAAATATCAACAAGTGATATCGCAGCTCAGAATATCAAGTTAACAAAACTCGCCAGCTGCAAATCTCACCGAACGGTGGTGAGATTGAGTTTCATGATTTTGTCTTTACACCCGAACGCAACCGAAACTTCCATAACGGCTGGCAGCAGTCGTTTCGTAGCTGCCGTCGGTGAAGAGAAAAACGACATAGCATTATTATACCTTTTCTTTCTAAGAAAACGAGGTCATTGTTGCGTCTGTTTAACTCTCAGCTTCAACTTTACATGCTATGAATATTCTCGCAATCAAGCATTATATTTTGCTCCAATATCATAAAATTTGCTAATGATTATGCCGTCATTATACCTTAAAAATTGTACTTATTGCTCGATTGCTCCCCAAGATACATGATAAAACCTATTAAACCATGGCACGCTTTATTAGCTTATATCATATATTTTGGGGAGAATCGGGCAAAACTGACTTTTGAAATCCACACGGTATGAAATGGGTTGTATTTGATTCCCTTGATATTTGTACAAAAGTTTTCAAAAGTTTATTTCCCGGGCGCCAAATCAGTCTGATCTGTTTCATTAGCTTCTAGTATGTATTTTGAGGGAAAATCGGGCAAAACCATTGTTTGAGGTCTATACAGTACACACTTAGAAATAACTACTTTTACACGAGACGTAATCTACATTGGACGTAAACCATGGAACGTAAACAAACATTTCATTTAAAATAAGTGTTCTCAACCCGAAACATAAGCAACTCGGCGAAGAGAACGTTTGATTGAATTTATTTTCTCGTTTCTTTCAACTGATTCTTACGTCAAAAGGGCCGCTTACATGTGTCGGTTTCAGGGAACCGAAATTTACTTGACTTTTTCGTAGTGTGTATGAAATAAGTTGCACTCGATTTCCCTGATATTTCTACAATAGATGGGTGCAATGTGAGTTTATTTCCTGGGCATAAAATAAGGCGTCAATTCAAGACCAACAATTGAAAAGGCCTCAACTCCATTTTGTAAACAAACTTCGTAAGGCCATTTTGTCGTGAACCGAAGTCCTCAAACGAAAACCCAACAAAATGAACAGGTAGAGGAAATTTTCCTCTACCCAATTGTGTTTTTAGGTCTGCGAATGTACACACTTCGAAAAAATCATGTAAATTTAAGTGCTCTGAGACTGACATATACGAGCGTCAATTTTGACATAAAATAGAGTCATAATAGACACGAAATTCAACTCAATCAAACGTACTTTTCGTCGAGTAACTTACTTTTCAGTCCCGGAACACTTAATTTTACATGACATATTTGTTTACGTCTGATCCTTTATGTCAAACATGGATTCCGTCACGTGTAAAATTAGTTATTTCTAAGTGTGTAGGTTTCGGTTCGGGAGAAAATGGCCTTACAAGGTTTGTTTACAAAATGGAATTGAGGCCTTTTCAATGGTTGGCCTTGAATTGTTTTATTAGGTTTTATCATGTATTTTGTGGATAATCGCGCAAAATTGAACTTTTTTTGAAATCTATACATGTGGCATTTGATTTTCCTGATATTTTTACTATAGATAGGTGCTATTTGAGATCTTTTCCCGGGCGTCAATTCAGTTTTTCTACTGTTTTATTAGCTACTATCATGTAATTTGGGGATAATTGGGCAAAATGGACCACTTTCTGAGTTCTGCACAAAATAGAACCATCACCAATCGATTAATTGTATTTTTTTTTCACAAAGGTCTTCTTACTAGCGCCATCAAATTAAGTCGATCATGGGTCTGTTTTTTTCACAGTGTATCAGGGTTCAATCCCAGCGGAGGTCGTTGGCATCTTTCTGAGCCAGACAAAGCTCTGAAATCTGGAAGACGGGACTCTTTCGGAAGGAAAGGAATGGTTTCAATAGGTTCTAAGTGTGGAGGTATGCTCCCAGACACTCGATTGCCGTTAGTGATTACTCACCTATTGGTAATCACCGCTCATCGAGATTGACGTAAAATAAAAATTACTCCATGAATGTAATAGGTGCTGAAGCCGTCATTAACCTTAATTACTTTTTTGTCATAAATGAGAATAGTTTTCTATTCAATTAAACTTCTTTTCATCTCTCAATTGGTACTGGTTTGTCGGTGGCCATCGATAAAGGGAGGATATCGAGTTATACCAAAGTATATATTTTTTAAATTAATGGCAAAATTCATCGAATTGGCATGAATCTCTCTCGGGTTGGGGAAAATATCGAGTAAGAGAGAGGTAGCTGCCGTATTTTAAAATGCTTCGGCAAAATAGAATCATATTTCTGTACATTTCCAGCATATCCAAGGTTCATCATTCCCTAGTGGTTGCAGCTTTTCATCAACCCGGTCAGCGCCCTTTCCAACATCAATTTATTATTGATGCTTTCGTAAAACTATAGCATGTAGCGTTATTCACACGCCATCAAGTAATAGAATTAAAACCCGCGTAATCTCTTTTATTTTCGTTATTTCTTCACCCATGCATGTTTGTGTTTATGCTGGCTGCCGCATATTTTCCCATTTTTCGTTTTTTTCTTTCCATATGTTCAATTTCGGTTAACACCCCCCAATTTAAGCAATTATTTAACGTGTGTAAATATAGCTCACTTCGGTGACACGCCAATATGTTACGATAAGCTGTTTACTAGCTTTACGCTTTAAGAACCAAAAGAACTCAAAAGCAAAACGCCCAGACATTAGATTGTAAGCATTTCAGATTCAGCTATCTGAAATGAAAACGAACTGAAAAGTGATCAAAACCCCCTTCAAATTTCTAGGCAATGTTTGCCAGCAGTATACCCGAAATTATTGAACTCGTTGGTAGCGGTTCTAAATACGGCGGAGAACTAAAACGCGAGCAAGGAAAGAGGTAGATCCGTCAATGTTTCTCTTCTCTAAACTAGTCCAATCTCAAGTTCCAAATGTTACTCACTTATAATTAGAACAATAATACCTTTTTGGTCCGCCAATTTTTTTCGTTGGTTGCTTTCTTTTCAAGTACACATTTGGTTCCAAGATCAAGTTATAGTTACGTTGGTCCTACTCAATACTAAGTTTCATTTTTGAAAATAATATCTTTTTTTAACAGTTCAATACACAATCAACCTATATGTTGTCATTAACTTCTCGTTCTTCGTTACTAAATGATCCCAGGATTCCTTTAATCTTATTTTATCACACAACCTCAAATATGATTTACTACATTATATGTAGCCAGATGCTTCGTTTTAATCCTCATTGCAGATAGAAGCAAAATGTTCCTTCCCCTATGGTGCTACCAATCACAAAAGTACCATAATTCAGTCGTTTCGTTTCATTACTACACCCATTTGGTTCAGTACTGTCTATGAATCACTTGTCCAGCCCTGAACGGCAGGTAGATTCGAGCATAGACGGATGACCGAGCTCTTGAATTTCAGGCAATCCCAACTCTAGCCTGCGTGATAGGACAAATTATCATGAGACCGATACTCCTAAAGAGCACGGCATCAGAGCTCCAATGCGCAGTCCCCACACGAGTCGCGAAATTTTATTAATATTTATAAAGAGTAGACGAACATGTGAAAAGGCCCTTGAGCCAAATGAAAACAACGACTTTAAACTTCAATTTCTCGCGAATGAAGCCTCATCCAGGGTTGGATTTCCTGGTAGAAGAAGGTTACTCTGTCAGATAGTGTAGTTAGTTTGCATGGATGTGATGTCATTCGTGAGAAATCGTTGACCGTCGTTATTGTTTACATGTGGCTTATTGGCCCTTTTCACATGTTCGTCTTGAAGAGAGAGAGAGAATTGCTATTCACGAGTTTACTTGACCGCGAATGGTCACCAGAGAATCGACGCATTGCTACAGTGCGAGTGATGATGATAAAGACGACAACAACGACGACGATGAGGACAACGATGACGACGTCGACGCGACATACGATTCAATAGCAAATTCTAATGTAAATTTCCCTAGGCGCACTAGGATAGAGATCAAATGAAGGTCTACTCGTCACGCGATGCAAATCGACGAAGTAGCATGTTTTGAGTATTTTTCAGCAAGAGCAAACGACAATCGCGTCCACCTCAATTAGTGATAGACTTTTGTAACTATTATTACAATTATATCATTGTCACACCTTTCGTAGAATTGCATTCTAATTGATATAGATAACATTATAATATACATTTAACTTATGATTTAATGAAAGAGCTGCGTTTATTCTCATGATGTTAGATTTTGGCACGTCAGGAATGTAACCATACGAAAGATACTCAAGATCAGCAACAATATAAAGTTAGATTCAATATGATTCCAGCATATTTTTTTTTTATCTTAGAGCAACACCCCGTTCGGATCTATCGTTTTTTTTTTGGTTTTAATCAGCTGCGCTCACTCACCACCACAGGACACAGCACACTTCCATAAAAACATACAAGATCATACGGATACAGGGAAACAGCCTGTCAGTGCGATTTGCAAAGTAGTGCATAACAACCTAGATGCAATCGTTTGTCAATTGTCGATGTTTTCCTTTTTTTCTTTGTCTAATCGATGTTTAGAAGTTTACAATTAGAGCGTTGACCTTTGTTTTTGTGCGTTGCTTCATTCTGTAGAGCAATGGCAGTACCGTTGTTGGTGGGCAATTATTTTGTTGAATATTGTTTGGATTATTTGGGTTGCCTATTTTTACAAAAAAAAAGTAAGAGGTTGCATCCAAGATACGATCGTTGATTTGACGTAGGATTACGTGCTCGGTATCAATATTCGGCGACTGTGTTAGGGAAATCATTGTTTTCTCATCATGGAAACGTTTTCTGATGACAAAATTACGCATTTTCGTGCACAAAACGCACGGAATCTGTGGTTTATTCAATAGATAATAAAATAAATCAAAAATTATTTGGAGGAATTTCTTGCTACGATTTTCAAATCGCGATCAATCATATAAATTCGAGATTTTTTTGCTTTTTCTAGCGTCCTGGAGAAAATCATACCATAATTCGAAGTGTTTCTGGTTAATTGACAAAGTCATGTGGTATTCGATCATTGCGAGAATTTTTATGTACCACTGCAATACGCATTTGACCACAAACGTTTGGTTGCTGGGCACATTATCAAAGAGCTTTGGGGTGATGTGGCTGGCAGTAAGGCGAGCGATCGTTCAATGAAAATTAACTCTTAAGCAACAATAATTTATGGTGGTTCTGAAAAGAACCGTTTTTTCGTGATGGTTGAGTAATGCTGAGCTATAAGGGTGTTCAACACAGATGAGGCGAGCTCTATGTTGTTTGGATCGAGGGTGACGCGCGGCATAGATGGCCCACAGCGACTCACGAAGAGCTACTGAATCCGATCAGTAGCGGTGCAGCTTCTTCCTCCTTCTTCGGTGAACGGACGCTCATGTCGGCTGCAGCTCGCTGCTTGTGGGCAACCTTTTGTTCTGTACGGGAGAACAATGATCAACGCCACGCGCCGAAAGCACTGCTGCTGCTGGCGCTGCTGCTGATGATGCCGACCGAACGGACACCACCACACAAGGTGTGTGTGTGTGTGTACAATCTAACCCCCACTGTCCGGCAGTGTTATTATGGAAGAAAACTGCTTTTTATTACCCTTAAATTAAAGCAGGTTTAGTCCGGGAGTTAGAAGGTGTTAGCTCTATTGCAGCTCCAGTGACCCATTTCAGAATGCCTGGTAATTCACGACCACTCCGAGGTCACTTTTACTTACAATAAGCCCCGCATGTTCACTCTACCTTTATCAAATGGATAATGGTATCATAAACACACTTCCAGATTCAAAAAATATTATTTCCAAATCTGGCACGTATATAGTTTTGAAATTTGTTCAACTGTACTAAATCGATTTGAATGGACATTTCTTATCAATTTTGTTTCGAATACCTCTTGATTCATTTGCTGGCAGCACTTACTGGCCCTTACCAGCGACCAACTCATCTGCCCGCAAATGCAACAACGCCTAAATCTCAAAGCTCTCTGAACGTCCTCTCGAAAATGCAATCGAGATATGTATAAGAGCAATTTTTAACTGGAACGTACTCACCAAATCATTACATCCGGGAGCAAATTCCCGATGCTTATTTTTCTCTCGCAAACCTGTCGTCGTCGAACGGCAAAAAAAGGAAACTCGGTGAGCAATTTTGTGACACGGAATTTTCACTGAACATAAACCGCGAATTCACGAATTTCACCACACCCAACTGCGAAACACGTTCAGAAGCACTTTTGGTACAATTTCGATCAATTTCTTTCGAAAACACAACAAAAAAAAGTTACAAGCGAGCCAACATTAACACCGATTGTGCCGATCTCTTTCACGCACCTTGCAGCGCGTAAATAAACTGAAATTAAAAATTATCACTCGCGATGCCACTAATTTCTGGTCCGGGAGAAAATCAAACAACGCAGATCGCGACATCTCTTCTGATGCTTGCAAACATGTTGAATCACGTTTTCTTTCTCTATTCTAAAACTTCCCGGAAAGTAATTGCAGCCGAAAACTATGAGAGCGAACGCACGCACAATACAGAGAACAAACTTAAAACACAACCGTATCCAAAGGCGTTCGAAACTGCACCCGCAATTTAGGTGAATCATCTTGTCGCCAAAAAACCATGCAGGAGACGGATTCTTCATCGCCTTTAACTGGTTTAGCGCATTGGTCACAGGCGGAAGTCATGCTGGCTCAGTTTCCAAAAGTGATTTAGAAACAGCGGTGGAGATGCTCTAATACGCAAAGAGGAATTGGATTCTCAAGATCGCCCAATGCTAGACAGTATACACTACAAAATGTCTGATTGGATAACTTTTTCACTGTTTTCACAACACAAAATATGCTCTAATTAGACGATTATCGCAACGAACTGCACTTTCCACTAACAACCAGAACAATATTACAGAATAATATTACGGAAAAAAAACGAATAACGATAGCCCGTGTGATAAAAAATCGGCAAATTTAGCAGCGCACAATCACGACGATGTGAATAACAACAACTCTGCTGTCTGTCAAACGGACACCACAACACAAGGTGGTTGAATAACCACCGTTCGGTGAGACCGGATGGAATTCGTGCAGGCAATCGGTGATAATTTTGATCACCATTGCAACAGTATGACGTTTGTATAATTTTCGATAGTGACAAATTGAAAATTGACAAAGTGTTCATTTTAGCAGATTTGTAGAAAAATTTCCAATCGATTGGTTTGCTTAGAATTAAAATCCATCCGCTATTGACAGAGTTATAAGTGTTCAAAACCTGACCACTTTTCGTAACGCGGTTGATTTTGGTTTTTTGAAATTGCACCCCCAATATGTTGCCGAAAGACGTAATCCTACGTAAAAAAAGAAGATGATTCGGAGTCGTACGTACATTATAGGTTGTGACTTCTAGCGTTGCGTTTTATTGATACTAGGTGCATCGTGTGAAATATATGATACAATTCCAATCGATGCAGTTTGTGTTAGTTAAAGAAAGTTAATGTTTACACCGGGAGGGCTTTATATAGCCCAGTGAATAAATTTATCACAGTCTATGGAAAAAGTTAAACTAACATTGTCCATAATAGGCAAATTTATGCTTGCTTCTTTAATGGACTGTGTCAAAAATACAGCAATGACCCAATTTTGCCAGACTTATCAAACTTTTTTCCCTGAAAAAAAAAAATCACAAAACCGTAATTCCAAATTTTTCTCATCAATGATCGAGGTATACCTATCATTAGCTTGGATGCTTTCATCTTCAAGATGGACGTGTATTTTGGTGCAATAAGACCACTGAAAAAGCGTATGGGCCGGATAGGACATTAGAAAAGATTTTAAAAAAGGAGGCTGAGAAAGTCGGGTCATTACTGTAGCTGAAA